CTACCAATAGAATGACTCCACCAATCATCACCCAATTTTAGACATCCTTCGAGGAACATCATATGACACTTATCAAGAACAAACGTTCATCTTTCAATGACCAACAATCCTTGCTCGACCTAACCGATTGCCAACCATTGCTTGAGCATAGATTAAAAAGGCATTCAAGGTGCATGTCTCAAGACATGCTTCACCATTAGGTGCCCAAAAAATAACTCAAAGCATACACCTTATTGGTTTGAGTGAGAATTTATGCATCGAGCTATCTGAGAGGCAAGCTTCAAATTATAATATAATAAGAATAAAAAAATCTTGTTATGTGATATTACGATATATTTAATTTAGTTTATAATAAGTTTTGATTTTAATTTTTAGGTTAGAATTGAAAGTCAACCGAGAGAGGGGGTTTCAAGCATGCTGCCATGCTACTCACAACTACCAACATAGAGGGGTTCCAATTGGGGAGGGTCACAAGCAGGGAGTGTGAATAGCTACGAGCAAGGGAGCTACCAGTAGCTACAAAAGAGGGAGGAGTATGCAAGCAGTTGAGTAGCTAATTGCAGTCCCAAGCCAAAGGGGTAAGTTCCCTTTTTCAAAAAAAAAAAATAATAATAATAAATGAAATTCTCTTAAACATTTTAGTTATTTTCTTGGAATTATTTTTTTATTTTGTTCGACAAATTTCATTTAAATATTTCAGTTTATTTTTTTAGTTTTCTTATAATATTTTTTATATTATTGTTTATCTCTTTATTAGAATTGCATTTTTTTTAATATATTACCATTCGTTAATTTTTTTGTTCTAAATATTTTTTTATATTTTCTATATGTATATTTTATTATTTTTCATTATTTTAAAATTTTTAATATTCATAATTGATTTAATTTTTATTTTTCTCAATTTTATTTTCTAAACTTTTTAAATATTTTTATTTTAATTTTAATTTTTGGATTTTTTTTATTTTTTATGATTCTTTTTGTTGTTTATTTAACTATTTATTATTATTATATTTAAATTATTATAACAATCAGTAGTGTTAGAAAATGCTATATGGCATTTAAATTTGAGATTTACTTTCATTTTCTTATCATGTAATGTCCTAGTTTATAATAATGAGTTCAATTAATTCGTTGATTGTTAATGGCAAATAAATGGATTATTCTAAATTTTTAGTTCTTTTTATTTTTTTGGTTCAAAGCTTATGCTACACCTTTCTAAGAAAAAACGTCTCAGCCTTCGTTTCACCTTTTTATACCTTACCCTTGAATTATAACATTCCTTATCAACCCTCATCAATTGCCTTTCAACATTTATTGCTCGTTAGCCCCCAACATCCTACACCCAGCTTCCTGATCGCTCAATCTCCCTATTAGCAAAACAACTAAGCTAACTACAATCTATTACCCAACCATACTTATCAATACTGAATAATATACATAGGAAAACGGTTTTGTTATGTTTAGCGAATAGCACTGATGCAATGATACAAAAATGCATCATCAATGTCATATGAATAAAAGATGAGAATGATTATACATGAGAATTTATGAAAGATAACTAAATTAGAAAATAAACAAACATCATGGCAATGAAACAAATAAAATGTATAAATAAAATTGCCATTATTATAACAATGCATAATAATATGTCAAATGCTAAACATTGGTACCAAGGATTAACCACTCAAAGCATTAGAAATAATTTTTTGCATGTTCCATATTTTTTTTTTTTTAAAGTAAGTTACTTATCTAGGGAATCATCATTCATCAATAAAAGCGAAAATAGACCCATCTTATCTATCAACATCATTATTATCTTCTAAATCATAATCTTATTTGTTATCCTCATCATATTTATGTTCATTTGAAAGAATGATAAGGCTTAAATGAAGATTCATGTTCATTTCCTTTAAAATGATCTCAAATTTTGTAGCTTCTTTCATAAACATTACTAGTTTTCACAATATTGTTCCATGTTAAATCTTCTTCAACAATCACTAATTCATCATCTTTGTCTTACTCATCATCCAATTTCCCTATTTATCACTCTCATTAGCACTAGCTATATCATTTAAGAAAATCAAATCAATAATTCATGATGATTCTATCTTTGAATAAAAGTCATTATGTTAAAATAAATCAAATATTTGAGTCGTTTATGATCCATTTAGCTTCTTTTGCTATGAAGTTGTAAAACCATTTATGATGATAACCTATGATGCACAGACATGGCCACAACAATATGGACACGACACGACATGGATACGAGACACTTCAATTATTGAAAACATAGAACATAGAATAAGTATATAATTTTTATGTTTTAAAAATAATGCATAGAAATTAAATAAGTAGAATATTAAAATAATTGAGAATTAATAAATCATTTAACAAGAATTTGTACTTAAAATAATTAATATTAAGATGTCGAGATTCAGGCGTGAATGTCAAGTCAGACATCCAGAGGGGAGAAGAAAATCCCGTCGAGAGTCAGGCATCGATTTTGTGCAATGGGCATCGAGCATTGATTTTGAAATAATGTTGACCCTCGATGTTGAGACGATGACAATCGTGGATGTTGAGATGACATTGGATAAAGATGATATGTCGAGATGGTGCATGAGCGTGATTGTGAGTGTAGAAATTACTAGCGTCAATCATTAACGAAAATACATCATCAGTTTTTAATGTTGACATGATATTAAAATATTGATGTTGTGATGGCGTTAAACATCGATATTGAGATAGCATCGTTTATTGTTGTGAAGTGCTAATCGTAACTCGCTAGAAAGAAATGAAAATGAGGATGTTTAGGGAATGAGGTATTGAGCGTGGACAAAAAAAAAGTTTTATATATTTTTAATAAATAAAAAATTGAAGTACAAGAAATTCTATTTTTTTTAAAAAAATTAAATATTTAAGAGGCGTGTGTCATACACGCATGAATATGTTAGACCGGTCCACTGGACCGGTCCAGCCGGTCCGCACGGGACCGGCCTGTAAACAGCAGAAATCTGCTGTTTTCCTGCTGTGGACAGCCATTTGGCTGCTGTTGGTTCGCCAATTTTGGATAGGTTGCTTGTGAATACAAGCGCTTCCTATCAGAATACTTTACTTTTTTAATCAGGCAAGTCTTCGGCATGTCCGACACGTGTCAGAGTCATGTCGAACGAGTGTCGTACACGATAGGTGTCGGACACTACATACCTCTTTGAGGAGAAGTATCGATGCATCATAGATGATAACTAACCTATAAAATTTCATGCTGACACTAAATATACAATTTTATTTTTGTACTTAAATGCTGAAATATATTTCAATTAAATTCACATCCATATGAACTACATTTAAGGCTAAACATTTTAATCACAAAACTTTTGCAAATATAGAGCTCCTTAACCATATAATATCAACTAATCAGTTGGATTTATATAATAACTTTCAGTATTATTCAAATATTAAATTATTGCCAGATACTAATTATAATTAATATTTTAAAATCATATTACTCGGTGCTCAAAGACTTTTGTCTGCAATTGGAGAAATCTCATAAATTCATTCAAACCTAATATGCACACTCAGCTCATTGCATATTTTATATTCTTAATTAAAATCCTTGGTCAATCTTCATATGCACATATATAAACTGTTAGCTACTTCCTTGTCCTTCGTAATATTCAGGTTAGCAAAAAAGAACTCGAGATTTAAGAAACGGGCAAATGAATACGAAGCCCAATAGAGTTATACTTCACCTCTTTAATTATTTATTTCAAAAATGTATTCATGCTTGTTGTTGTAGGTAAACGATGTGGTTACTACTTCTTTAACCATAACCATTGCCTCATATGTCAAATCCATCGAAGGCCTTTTCTTTAAATCTAACAACAAGGCGCCTTAAACAAAAAGACATCTACTATGAGTTATTGCATTACAATGTGATTTTTTTTTGTCCTCGCTAAGCCATTTTTCTCTTTTGAATAGAAAACAAACTCCAAGTCTTTGTATGTGAACATTTTCTTCAAACTAGTTTACTATTGATGAAAAAGTTTCAAGTTCAAAAAGATCATGGCAACTTAGGTCTTAGACGATTATACTAGTGATCTTATGATTAGTTCATCTTCTCATCAAGTTAAATAATTATAGTATTGAATGAATGAAACTATGCATGACCACTGCTCCCTAAAAATATTTTCTTAGTTTTTGGAACTTAAAGATATCCTATCTTATTAAATCCAAATAATGAGTGGCAGATAGAATCTAATACCCTTCAACAACTTTCTTGCAACAAGATTGCAGAATATTCAACAATAAATAACTATATTAGTCAAGAGTAATATATAAAAGTGTTGCAAAATAGACACATTACAGTATAATTATGCAGTAACTTACCAACTAGAACATTAAATAAGGCATTATTAGTAACCACTTAAATGGCACATTGTGATCAAATATCTTTGATATATTTGCTTAACAATTCAAATATTTTTATGACATTCTTTGAATAAGTGCTAGCATCAATTGACTCTATAATTACGATTCATCTTTGATAATGAACTAAAAAGTTCATTAAAATCTTTTCCTTATGAGATTGACCCAATAATTTTGCCCATTCTTCTATTTTTTACATAAAAGTATCATGTCTCCTAGAAGCTGCTCTAAACTTATCAATGTGTGTGCAATATTTTCATACAATATTAAGACTAAAATCTCTCCCTCCACCACCATGAATATTTCAATATGCAACAAGTGGTATAAACCACATATAATTTAAAGTTATGCAAGCCCACTATGTAGGACGTATGAGTATGCATAGTCATTGCTACTATTAATGAGAGCATATATTGGGCAAAATGAGAAGCTAAGAAATTGAGTCGAGATGTAACTCTTAATGCATAAGTTAAAAAGATAAGAAACATTGCTAATTAAATCAATTTCACAATATTGATGAACATATACTTGCAGTCTAAGGAAATTGGAGGGCTATGTGGTCATAAACAAACCTAGTTTGACCTTGTTATGTCTCCTCATCAATGCACTCTTCATGTCGCAAACTCTCCAGATCTATGTTATCATTTTTTTATCATATCTGCAACCAATTGTACGAATGCTATTTATATCAAATGTAAAAAGGAAACTACTGCTATTAAACATATTTGTGAAATATACTCACATGTAACTCACAAAATACTGTCATTCCATTAAAAACAGCTGTTGAATTAACATTGTTGCACTTTCTTGGGTAGTCTCTACCCCCTTTTTCTCAAGGCCAATAATTAGGGCATATTTTGTAATATCATTTGGAAAAATACCGCTGGCCTTCATCATGACTAAAAATTGGCAAGCTTTGCAAATGTCACCAACATTACAAAATCCACGTATTAGAGTATTGTACAGAATTAAGTCAGGCTTTAAACCGGCATCCAACATCTTGTGAAATAGAACATCAGCATCCTGCATCCGACGCATTTTACAAAACCCATTTAACAAAGCACTGCAAGTGACAACATCAGGTGTCATCCCTCTCTTGCTCATACTACACCATATAAGATAAGCTTCTTCTAACCTTCCTTCTTTAGAATAGCCATGAACAATATTTGTGCATGTAAACTTATCTGATGAATAAACCTCATCAGGAGAATATCCTCTTCTAACAAGTTCATTAAAGATTGTTTTTATAGAAAATCCTCTCTTAATAAGACCATGCATGATCATATTGTATGTCACAGAATCTGGAGAAACCCCAGCCTTCTTCATCAAATCCACCAGTTCATATGCTTTGTGCATATGTCCCTTCTTGCTATACCCATTGATCAAAGTGTTATACGTAGCTACATCAGCTTGCAACCCATCTCTTTCTAGTGCATTAAAGACAAACTCTGCCCCTTGAATATCATCAATTTTGCAATGACCGTCAACTAAAACTGTATAAGTTACAATCGTTGGTTCAACACCTCTTTTAGTCATTTGAGCAAAAGTTTTCATAGCATGATTTATTCGGTATAGTTTACAATAGCCTTTGATCAGAGTGGTATAATTAACACAGTCAGGAGCTACATCTAACTCAAACATCATATTCAACAGTGCATGAGCACTTTCAACATCTCCATTTTGACACCATGTGAAAATAAAGCTATTATACACGTAAGAATCAGGAACACAAGCTGAAATGTTCAATAGAATCAATGCAGCTTCCATTTTTCCAATCTTACAATAGCCATGAACAAGAGAAGCAATTAAAGTGGAGTCTAAAGATAAACCCATCTGAACCATCTTAAACAGCAATGAAGTTGCCTCTTTTAAGAAGCCTCTTTTGCAAAATGCATCAATCACAATTGTGTATGCAACATTATCAGCCTTGCCACCAAAAGTTGGCGTGTCATAAAGTAACTTGCAAGCAGACTCTAAGCAACCAAACGAAACAAATTCCCGGATAAATAAGCTTACAGTCAATCCAATCAACCGAGCTCCCAAGTTTTCCATTTCCACAAATAAATGTCTATCAGATTCAAATTTATTAGTGAACCGTGACTTCAACAAAAAGCCAACGGCAATATAGACACCATTGCTTGGATAAAAGCCAAACTTCTCCATCCTTGTCATTAACTTAACAGACATATCCAACATGCCTTGCTCTGCAAAACAAATAACAAGCATACTATATGCAGTTTCCAACTCACCTGCATTTCTCCTCGTCTGCCACAATGCATGAAAGATCATATTAAGCCCATCTTCAAATGGGTCATTGCTTCGAACAATCCTACAGAGAAGGTCCATGGCAACATGGTTCATATTACCTGAAATAGCTATGTGCACCATCGTACAGTAGATATTCAACTTATTCTCCGATTTATCATCGTACCTATGCAACATCCTGAACAAGTAATACACGAGGGCACCATCCAAGCTCTCATCGAACAAATCATTCAGCATCCGGGTAAAATACCAAGAATCTTGGTCGATGCTAAAAAAAGCATGGAAATTTAAATCCCATCCTTGCTTAGAAAGAGCTAGCGTGATTCTCTTAATAAAATTCCCTTTGTGGCGCCATTTTCTATCAAAAGAATACTTCCTGTGGAAGGAATTTCCGGTGTTAATTTTACGAGCAGGGTAGATGGTACGGTTGATAATCGGAATGAAATGGTTTTCTGATACAGGTCGCGAGAAATCGTGCTCCATCTCGAGCTCGTCCGAGTTCAACGAGTCGGAATCTAAGAGAAAATGGCAAGCAAACCCAAGATGACGAAGGAGACAACGTGGCGTGAGGGCATGTAAAGGAATAAGGGAAAATGAGAGAGAAAAGTGGATAAGAGGAGAGATATTGAATAGAAAATGGATGGGACGAAACAAGGAGCCAACCATTTTCTTGTGGGGAAAAAAAGCTAAATTCTGAAGTTACTACGTTGGGTTCCATGGATATTGGGAGAATAGAAGCAACGGGAGAGACGAAGAAAGGATGAAGGCAAGCGAGCAAGGGTGGAGCATCACAAGGAGCTTCATCAAGATGCTTCTTTGAAACGTCTGCAATTGTAGAGTGAGAAGGAGAACAAAGGAGAAGCACAAAGTATGGGAACAAACAAGGAAGATTGCTTCTTCATCTTCTTCAGTTCTCCTAATCCAAATCATTCTCCTCCTTTTCCTCATCTCCAATGTCACACTACTTCAAGAAAGACGAACTATACCAGCACACTTCTGCAGTACGATTACATAAAGCAAAACGGGTAAACGGCGATGGAAGGAAGCAAGAGGCGGCGGAAGCCAGAGGAGCAGCTCGGCGGCTAAGACAAAGGTGAACAGAGCAGGACGGATGGATTCGGATGCAGTTTTGGTTAGGCTTAAACCTAGAATACAGAAGGAATAAGAAATTATTCATGTTTTGTTCAAGATTAAATTTTTTGGGAGAGTTGTCGGCTTAGCCTTTGTATTGATAAAAAAAGGGGTTACATGTGTAAAGAATTGCAGTCTAAAAAAGAAATAAAATTTTCAGAGAAATAGGAACCAACAAAAGTAAAATAACCCGCAATAAAAACACTTACAAAGAAAGTGCAAATGCCTATTCTAAAGTAAGAAAATAAGATTTATTAATCAAACAAGCCAAAAGCTCAAAAGAAATCATGAGAGAAATCGGAAAGTTCAATTATCCAATATGTTGGTAATAGAATATGACGGGACACAGGTAGCAACAAACGGGACAGGAGAAAAATAGGGCAGCAGAAAATCCCTGGTTTCCACAAGGACCATCAAGGTGATATGGGTATGGATTTACAAAGAATCATCATCATCCATGGAAAAAATAAATCCCCACCAAATCATAGAACTATTCATCACAAAACTTGTCGGCATTGCTCGAAGGTACACATGAAGGGGAAAAAGAATGATCATCTTGATGATGAGTAGAAAAGGAATGGAACATTCTAGCTCCCAAAATACCCCAAAAATCAAAATTAAATTAAAAAATCCTAGAAGCCTAGAAATCATCTTCCTTCTCCGACTTGCAATAACCATTTCTCTTTGACAGACACTCCATGTTTATAATTGAACAATTCCCCACAAACAGTATTGAAGATTTTGGAACACACAAAATTAATGCCATATAAATTAGAGTTAGAACACCTTTAATTCCACTCCTTCAATAAGAAATAAGTGATGCAACATATAGAGAAAATAATAATTTTTAAGATCTTACGCATTGCACTTTAGCTCCTCCACATGGTCCAAAAATTTCCCTAGGTTCGATCTAAGAATAAATTTGCACACAAAGGATATAAACTTAAGTAGAACAAAGAAAGAGAAGTCGCATTCAAATAAGATGTGGGCAAGAGATTCCGATTGGGTATTACAAAGCCAACACTTAGTGTTCGTAGGGTTATTACTCTTAAGATGAACATCCGTAGTTTTTAAACCCCATTGTAAAGCCATCCCAGCAAAGATAGAATACCTCAAAGCATGGTGCTTATGCCAAATGTGATGGACCTAAGAGGGTGTAACTTCTTCCCTGAAATAATTATTTAGAAACGTACTAAACGTGACATTCTCATTATCCCTCCAGGAGAAGGTGTTTGCACAAGCATCAGAGACATGAATAGATAAAATAGTCATTTTGATATCCCCCCACCAATGTGTCTAGAAGGCTCCAAATGCCTCCATGTAAAAGAACAGAGGCCATAACATTAAGGGGGAAGAAGAAGGTGAAGCAATAGTGTTACAGTTAAGCCAAGGATCCCAAAATAAGAACTACAACTATTATTACAAATGAATAGGGCAATATTGTTCAAAATATTCTCAGTCATGTGATGTATTAAATCCCAAAGCTTGGAAAACATGGAATTGTTGGAATGCCAAGGCGAGTAATATTTTGCATGAAGCCATAATGCAAGAGGAGAAATGGAGTCGTAGAATCTAGCAATAAGAGATCAGCAATAGGCATACTGTCGGGCTCTAAAGTTAGGAAGACCTAAACTCCAAAATTTTTTTTGGTTTGTTGGTCCTATGCCAAGAAATTAAATGAAGTTTCTTAGCGATGTCACTGAAAAATTAAAAATTTTGAGCACATCTTTCCAATAGTTCTAAGGCATGACTTGGGTATGATGGAGCTCATAATCCAGTATGCTAGTGTTCAAAATAATAAATATTAGGAATTCTAGCTGGCCTGCAAAAGAAAGAAGGCGGGCTATCCAGCCTGCAAAATGGTTAAAAACAAAGTTAAGGAGGGGTTGAAAGTCAGCAATCCTAATTCTTTTGGAAGAAATAAGAAGGTCGATGTAAGTTAGATGGTGCAAAATGATGGAATATTGAGAGTAGAGCAGATAGATTATGGGGATGGGGTGCCAAAAGATAAAATTAAAGAGATTTTAGCATTATTAATAGCTAACCGAAATAGTAGGAGAAATCATTCAAAGTATTTATAAGGGTCTCGCAATTGAGAGTGGAAGCCTCCCCAAAAATAAGGTCATTCGCATATAAGAGGTGGGTGAGATGGGAGTTGCCACAAGAAATACCTCTAAAATCATGTGGGGCAGAGCTACCACAAATAATGCAAGACAAAGCATTCATGGCTATGCAGAATAAATACAGGCTGACGGGGCAGCCCTACTTGAGACCCAAGGAAGAGCTAAAGAAACTTCCAAAGAGCCATCCAAACAGATGGTGAAGTGTACATCCAAGATGCAAACCTTAACCCAGGAAATAAAAAGTGGGGGAACCTTTTTAAACCATTCTCTCTAGAATGAAATTTCTAAAAATTGAATCAAACATTTTTTTTATGTTAAACTTAGCACAAAATAATTTTTTTCTGTGAGCACTTCCTGAAATACATCAAAGTCTCATAGGCCAGCAACACAGTTTCAATAGAGACCCTTTTGTGAATGAACTCAACTTTGGATTCATTAATGATGTGAGGCATGACCTCTATAAATCTAGAAGCCATAATTTTAGAAATGATTTTATAGAACATATTGCAGAGGGAGATTGGTCTATAATAATAATAATAATAACTATTGGCATGAGATGATTTGGTGATTAGAGAGATTGAAGTTGCCTTACTTTTTTTGGAAGGTAACACTTGTTGAAGAAGGACTTCATAGCCTTACAGACCAACAACCCCATAAAAAGCCACCCAGATTTGTAGAATTTCAAGTTTAACCCATCAAGTATAAGGGAGGAGGAAGATTAACCCATAAAAAAAGTTTCTTTAATCCCCAGACCAGAGATTGGAGCAATAAGTAAGTCAGCCGGATGTTAGGGAAGCACATAGCCTTTTGTAATGGCAAAATTGTTTAGCCTAAACAGTTGACATTTGCTTTCTCTGCTTCTAAGTTGTCACAGAGTGTTGAGGCGTCTTTCGCACTGCTTGTCCCTTAATCCACAGAAGTGTCAGTTCTGAATGAATGAACCTGGGCAGGATAGACTATTTCCTCGCTCCTTTCATTCGATCAGGGTCTCAAGATCAAGAGAATAGATTGTTTGTTCGGGGAAGAAAACAGCTAGTGTATTAGGAAATGGCTGATTAGCGTTAGCAGGAGGAAAAGGACCTGACTGAACTGAGTTGAAACTCTAATTTCCATCAAGGAAAGGACAGGGCTTGCGATAAACTGATGGAGGAGGCAAATTATAGAGAACCTTAAAGTGTTGGATGATGGAAGCAGCATTTGATTCTACCAAAAAAGAGGATCGTTGGTGATTTCTTTTGGTTTTAATTTGGGCAAATAAAAACTTGAGATCATCTTCTCCTTGGACTAGCCACTTCATTTTACTCTCTGAATGATCCAGGAGGCCTAGCCAGATGAGCATTCAAAGATACAAGCATTAAGAACCTTGAGTTTTTTGTTCATGTTTGAATTCAAAGGATCCAAACTAATAAGATAGAGGCATTCACTTTGTTGTGTATGAAGAGAAGCTAGTGTGGAGGAAAGGAGAAAGGAGTTAGCCCAACGTAGCATTTTTATGGAGTTTTTAAGAAGTTGAAGCTTTTGATACAGTACATTAATGGGATTCTGACAAGAAGTTTGTGAAAAAAATATTCAGAAGAGCATCTCAATATTTATTTTTTCTCACCCAATTTTTTTTTTAAAAGGAACATGTAATGTTCCTTACAAAGAATGCCCGAGCAGATGATAAGGGTAAACTGGTCAAAGCAAGATGGTTTTAGCACTCCAGCTAGCTATCATTCATAAGAGCTCTATCCAACTTGAGATGAATGGGGCTCTTGACTATCTGATTAAACCACGAGAATTTACTGCTAGTAAATGCCAAATCCTTGGCCATAACATTAAAATTAAGGAGTTAAAGTCCCATAGGCTGTTGTTTAGGAGAGGGACACCCCCTAATTTCATAATAGGGTGCCTATGATAGTTGAAGTCACCAATAATAATCCATAAGGAGTTAAGGTGTAGGATTTTGTAGTGTAGGACTTTCTCAAAACTATTGAGGCCCCTTACATTCCAAGCAGCTAAAGGAAGCAAGGTCATTAGGAATTTGTTAGCAGGTAGTGAGGGGACTTTTTGCCCTTATTACACCTAGTAGATTTTAGAGGCATAAGATGATTGGGAGGTTTATGAGGATATGATGAATATGGATTAGAGGATGTAGCAAAGTTAGATACCAAATAAGATTGAAGGATGTAAAATTTATTTAGAGAAATGAAAGTATTAGAGTTTAAGGAGGCACCCATTAAGGCAACAAAGGGTTGTTCTTTAGTGGGAGAGTTAAGGTTGGGCAAGGGTGTAGAGGTGGAGGTAGAGGTAGGAGATGGAGTTGGGACTAGGATGATAGAAGGAGCTTTGGGAGGGAGGAACAATAATAAAGGAAGAGGGTGGGATACGGTGGCTAGTGGGATTTTAGCTCTAAGGGGAAGTGGAGTGTTGGGCTTCTACGAATGGGAGAAGGATATGATCAGTTTGGCTGGACGTAGAATTAACAGTGTTGGGAAGATGTTTGTGAGGTTTTTGGATAGAGCTTCTACCACGTATAGGAGGAGGACCAATAATAGAAGCATGGGTTTTTAAGGGGAAAAAATCCAATGGGTGAATAAAGGAACAATAGAAATCATATGGAGAGGGCCTCCGCTCATATTGGATTATAAGATCTATGCATTCCCCCATGATTGTGATAGGAATGAATTTGGGGTAAGAACATTTGATGGTAACCTGGATAGACCCGAGGAAAGGTCAAACAATTTTTTTTGCCTATGAGGGACTTGATTACAAAAGGGTACCAATTTGGCTGGCGATCCAAGAGATACCCAAGCCATATTGCTCATGTAGGCTCAAAAATACCCAAGGATTCCCCATAAACATTTCCACCTCATCCTAGTCTATGTGGTGGCTAGTCACCTCTTCATCATAAGGCCTGGGTAAAGCTTCCCATGGCCTAAGATGTCCTCCTTTGGGCTCATGGAACT